TACTTCAAAAAACTATTTATTTTTATCAATTCATGCAAAGGAATACATATTGTAAAATTTTCCACTATCTCATTTTTTTTCAATCTCAGTCAATTAATAATTTAAAAATGAATTATCGGATTTTAATTCGTAATTCAAAAATTACTGATAAAAAGTACTGTAATAATATACAAAATCTCGTAACATTAAATGTGCCAATTCAATTCAAATATAATCAGTTTCATATTAGGTTGGCCCTTGCAAAGACTATTAAGGGACATTCATATGTGGCCTGCTTTACAGTAGGTAAACTATTCATAAATTTTTTGTTAGCTGCTTCTTTCACTTATGCGCAACAATTTGCAATCAGTTAGTTAATTTCGTACTGAACATTTTATACTAGAATTATTTTTATATGGCAAAACAACGTTTGCCGGGTCAACTAGTATATATATATATATATATATATTCATATATATATATATATATATATATATATATATATTAGGGCGGGTTGATTTAAAGGTCACTTAGGCACATATAATTTTCGGGTTCTAGAGACAAAAATAAGATACTTTGCTGAAGAAACCATACCTCTAAATTGAATTCTGAAGTCTCGGGCATTGGCCCAAAAATAAGGGTTAAATTTTGAAAAACGTCTCAGGGTAGGTTTCAGGGTTTAAACCAGGGGCACAGGTAGATCGGCCTTCCAAAGTTAGTGGGGGTCGGCCATACATTTGGAAGCAATTGGGGCACTCTAAATGGACCAAAATGGAATTTTTCAAATTTCAACCCTTATTTTTGGGTCAATGCACGGGACATCAGAATTCATTTTAGAGATATGGTTTCTTCGGCAAAGTATCTTATTTTGATCCCTAGTATCCGAAAATTATATGTGCCTATGCGACTTTTTTTACCCACATATATATATATATATATATAATGTGGAAATAGACAGAGTTCGGTTATATTCTAGAGAATATTGAGTTTGACTTGATAGAAAGATATAAAACCATAATTTTTTTGGAACTTCCCCGTTATTCAATACAAGGCAAACAGAATCTTTCCGTTGAACTACATGTATTCATACGCATTAGTAAATTTCAATGAGACTTGACATAGGTATCTATCAATACGGTTCTCGTTGTTGATCAAAGGATTGAATTTCTGTTAAGTCCTCAAAATCCTCGCATTCAATTCACAAACATAGCGATCACATTTTCCCAAAATATAACCCTCATCTTTGAAATTGTTTAGTTACCGTTTAATAATATTCCATCGTAGAAAATTTACTTATTGATAGTAACAATTTTCACTAACTAGTGGAAAGATTCTGAAAATAAAGCCCCAAATTTAGACTGCATGTTTTCATGTGCATAACTAAGATATTTTAGTGCATTAGTATTATAATTTCATTTTATACTTTCAACTAATATTTTATCAATCTTGGTTACTTTTGGTGATACAAATTGTTAATGGTTTGCAAAATAAGGAACTTTGAATCTGTCAATAGAGCCACAGTATGGTTTTTGTTAAGATGAACAATCTAAAAAAATATGGTATGGCATCGTTGATCCAAATGTTTTTAGAAAACCACTCATTGATACGTTTTTTAATTTATGAAAAATGTACTAAATTTGATGATATTATGTAAAGATTAGTTTCTGAATGTGTATAAATTGGTTAATTCATTAAAGTTAAACGTTGAACTTATTGCTTTGGTGCTGAAAATATGGATTTAACAAACCAGAAGAAGTTTGTTTTTCCAAGTAATTACGACTTACTAATTTTACATTTTCTGGACGTTTGAGTAATTCTGAATCGTTTAAGATCAAAATTGATTAAAGTATATGTCTGTATGTGAGTGTGTCAAATTAAAAGCAGATGATATTTGACCTTTTATCGACTTTTTCTCAAAAACGACGTCGTCCTTAAGGATAAAACTCGATAAGGGCGACTGTTGATTAGTTTGGCGAAACCATCGGTTGAGCCGTTTCTTTAGAATCAGTAAAAAAGTCCAAAAAATTGTCGATATGTTTTTGCTGAAAGTTCTGAACTCATTTAATAAATTAAAACTATACAATAGATATTGGTAATCGTGCTGATTAGTTGGAAAAGATCAGACAGTTCGTTTTTTTTCATAATTAAATGTTAATTTTTTTGGCATTACTAATGAAACTTATCTTGGCTATAGGTCTAACAGAATGAATATCTAAAAATATTATTGGCCTATAAAAACTCGTTGATTTATAAAAATTCAAAAAATATTGGGAAAGTGGACCGCTGTTTTAGGACCTACAAGCTCATGATTGTTCACTATAATAAACACAATTACAGATTTTATAAGTTTATCAATTCAATTTTTGCTCAATGATATCAATTGAAAATTGCATTATTTAGTTTTTACTATAAGCGAAAACTTTCTTTTAAAATAAACTTCTGTACATTTTATCTAAACAGCTAATTCTAAATTTTATTGATAAAGTCATTTATTTACACCTATCGGAAAGTTTGTGCAAGTCGTCAAGGCAATATGCCACTTACACCTAGCTTAAATAGTCATACAATTAGATAAAATATATACTTGTCATATAGGGGGGACTGGGTACAGTGATGACAGTCATCATAACAGTTAAACTATATTGATTTTGAAAAAGGTTCCTAAGTGAGAAATATGAAGTATGATTGTTCGAACAAGTTCCCATTATTGCTTTCAATCCGTGCGTTATATAAACATTATCTGTTAGCAATTATCGCATTGCTTTTAAAGAGATAAAAGTAAGTTTTTATGTTGGAAATATTTTAATCATAACTGTTAATTTTATACAGTTTATCGATCACTTTGTTGTTATTTTTCTGTAAGTTGAACATTAGTTGTTATTTACTAGCAATTAGTTTTGCTTAGATTATTTAACTTAGTCATAATGATGATTTGTTTTCAAAAGTGGGCGTTTGGTACGATTTTGAAAAATTTTGTGCGTGTCCTTTTTGGGTGGAGATTAAACTGGTAAAAACAATCTAACTCAAATAGGAAAAAATACGAAAGAGAAAGAAAAAGAAAAATTCAATATAAGAAAAATTTTAATTGTTCATGCTGTCTTGTGTTACATATTATTGTTATTAACAATAATAAAAATTTTTACAAACCATTTTGGTGTTAATGGCTAATGTTTTCCAACCTATTTTTAGGCTTGTCACAACTGCTCTTTGTGTGTAAGGGATTGTGACATTCGCCCGTTTCTTCGCCTTAGGAACAGTATTTTAGTACTTTTACGTAGACACATGTTCAAATTGCCATTAACTTTTTTTTAGCTAACTGGTTTATTAACAAAATTTTTGCTCATTAAAAAAAGTGGCACAACCGTACCAGTTTTCCTTACTTGTGTCGCCACATCAGTTAGGGCGATATTAAAAACTAAAGAAGAGAAGACTATCTATAAAATTAATTTTACGTTATACAACGATTATCAAATGATACTATTACGATCTTTTTTAATATTTAAAGTTTTCAATAACGATTTTGATAAAAATAAACATTTTCACTTAATAAATTAATGTTTTGATTATTTTTCTTAATATACTTCCATCATTATGACAAGCCTTAATAAACCTGTACGATTTGTTTTCAAAGACGATAATTACATTTTGATAATTAAGACGGATCACAGTTCTGTGTTGCGAACATGGCGTAAGCCTCACTAATTAATTGGTTGCAAGATGCTACCTATAATTACTAAGTCTGAATAACCAAAGCAAAAGAGAGGAACGCTTTTGCTTTATGTCTAACATTCACTCGAATTCCATTCGTGTCACAGGAAAATTACAACTTTGCTGCCAATGCTGAATGTTACAAAGACACTTGATGCTAGTAAATTATTGTAAAGTATTCAAAATTCAACTTACTATTGAAGATAGTCTGAATAAATTTATTATTTTCTATTTTCTACGTCTTGTGTAACTTTTTGAGTTTGATTTTAAAAATATCTTCGTTTGGCATATTGAGCAAAAAATTTCTTGTTTAATGGTGCTTCTGGTGTTGTGGTAAGCGTTCTGATTTTTAATCACGAAGTTCAAAGTACGAATCCATGTTTTGGACAACTTGATATCATGCAATACAAATATACCTTTTTTCTAATACATCTAAATAGATTTTCCAGCATTAATACATTTAGGTAAAAAATGTTGTCACTATAAACTTTTTCGGTACGTGAGCGTTTTCCGCACTGCTATACGGAACAGCGAGCCGCATAGCAGCCTACTGAACGGTCCAATCACTATCAATAAAATGTATTTAAAAAGTATAAATTACAATTTTAAAGAAATAGAAATTACAATAAAAAAAGAATTCTCAATAGTTTAACTCATATTGGTAAATCTTGAAGAAGATCGACAATACTGCATGTCGTGGATGCATAGGTTGTTGCCTTTTAGTAAAAAAAATCATCATAGATAGAACTAGTGGTGTATGGCATCGTGCCTTAAGCAAATTGATTTTTGTAGCTTGATCATTACGTTAAATTTTAAGATTGCATAAATAATTTGAACCATAGAAATCCATTAGATTTTGCTAGTGTGCGATAGTTTTGGGTCATGTCATTGCTTTTTAGATAAAGATACAATGATTTCCTGGAATTCTTTCATTATTCGAATTATAAGTTACATTAAAACACATAAAATTAAAGCATAAAATTCAAATTAAGTCATTTGGTAAGTTTTTTTCGCATCTCACATTAAAAATCGAACTATTGACATATTGCTAAGTTTTGACGTAACTTAATAAAAAGCAAATAACATACTCAGAAATGCGTAAAATACCTGTCTTAGGTTTTTTAGAGATATATAATGCTTTGAAATGGCATGTCTCAGTATTAATATACAGGTATTTTACGCATTTCTGATGATCTATCTGATCTGATCTGTTTCAGCATGATAACAATTCGGTTTCGGTTTTTAATTAGTTAATTGATAAGGCAAAATCGGTGTTATTTTGTAAAATTAAATCGTTGTTATTTTTGTTGCAGATGAGGATATGCAATGCGACTGCTCAGAATGTTTACATGGAATAAAATCAAGAAACTGTTTGAATAGCCAAAACGACGACTCAATCACTAGAGTTTAGTTAAATTTATAATAATTTAATTCCATAGGTAATTCGAAAACTCTAGTCTCGTGATATTAAATACTCTGTCTGATACGTTTCTGTATAAAATTGGATTATTGCTATTCAAAGACATGAATGACTCTGAACATTATCGCATCTTGTTGAAAATAATATGTAATTTAAATATAAATATATATTACAGAATAGTCTAAGTCAATATAATCAATAGTTCTGAAAAATCTGTTAATATTATTAAATTCTTTTCCAAGTTCTATGTTCATAACGAGCATCTAGTCATGTTTCAGCATTGATATTATTGTGATATTTTATTTATTATAATAAATAACAATATATGATCTCTTAAAATATAATAATGATAAATCTATTAGATAAATCTTGCATAATTTAAGTCTCCAATAAAAATAATTATTAATGCAAAATTGCGCTAAGTATTATTTCATTTATTTAAAAAAAACTTCTATGTGAATGTGTGATCCGACATCTGACACAGTTTTTTGATTTGTTATAAAGCAAAAATATATTTGATTAATCTTGAATATTAATAATTTGAAATCTTGTAATTAAAAAAATCTGTTTGAAAAATTACTGCAATAGAAATGTAAAATAACATTAGAGTATTTGTAATGACTGAAAGATAAACTGATATTTCATCTTGAAGCTTATAACTCCGTGTTAATTTTTTTTATTGAAATTTGTTTATTTGAACTTTTGGTATGAAACTTACAACTAGTTAAAATTATTGTGAAACAGTCACATAATATTATTTTATTTTTGTGAGGCAATATCAAAATTAAATCACAATATTTATTAAAAAATAATAATAATTGATCTCTTCAACTCGAATATCTCTAAATATAAATACCATAAGGATTTTTTTCTCAATATTAAAAGTAGAAATTTAAAATTATGGCATATTGTGAAACTGTATCTCAACATACATGTGTTATTTTGTACAAAAATCATTCTAGCTTCTACTTAAATATTAGTGAAATATATTAGATAGTGATTGTTATGATCTAGTCTATATAGTTAAATTGTTCCTATAGAATTATAAATTGTATATAAATTATATAACATATTTATTGTAGCTATCAGAAGTATAATAAAATATTATGAATTATAAAGTGTTTTCTATTCCATTTACTTTAAGTTTACAGAAAATGTATTCACATTATGAAATCAATTCATATAACCAGTAATATGAGCCTGAATGCCACAAGGTTCCAGTTTGATACCTACCTCGGCCAGCTTGACGTGAAGCGATGTGATTTCTTTTTTTACTTAAAAAATAGATCTAAATATTTTTCCTAGTGAAAATAAACTGTCTCTGGCTTTAAATAAAATTTAAATATATAATATAATAAATATATAATTTTAATAATTTTTTAATATATAATATTATGTGCATTTTTTAAAAAGTTCAGATTAGATTTCAGATTTTTGTTACCAAAAATCAATTGCATAAATTTATATTTTGCGCCAATGGCTTAAGTTACTGACTTAGTTGGATTACATTTTAGTTTTATCGATAATATGAAAATTGATATTGATCTACTTCAAGCTTCATGTTGGATCTCAAAATGGCATCTTATATTTTTGTGGTGCAGTCATCAGTGTAGAAGTTGTTGTATTGAAAATATTTTTTTACTGTTATTATAATTATGAACAAATTTAATAAACGTGTTATAAAAATTTAGTGATTCAGTGCAAATTAAATCATATTCAAAATATGGAGGATCAACTATGGACGCCATCGGAAAACTTAAAATGGCGTTTTATATATTTGTATGGCAGTGATAAGTGTCTAAGTTGTTGTACCGAAAAGTTCTTCTTACTGTTATTTTATTATGAACAATTTTTTAAAATGTGTGTTAAAATAGTTTAGTGTTTTAGTGAAGAAGAAAACATAATTAAAATATGGAGGACTAGCGTCTTGTCATCCACAATTTTTGGCATTTCTCGGTTCCTCAAATAAAGTGTTCAATTGAGATTTTTACATTGCATCGATGCAGAACTTCATATAATTATAATAAATTATATCTGGATTTCAAAGGTAGGATTATTTTTTATATTTCATGCTTAGTATTTCATATTGATTTGGTAGTTGCACTAGTTTAAGGGCTATATTGTTAGGCATAAATAATAATTACAGAACTTCAACTTAAATGAACAATAGTGCGTTTACAAATTATTGATGGCATTTTTTTATTACTTTTTATTAACATTGTTTATTTTATGGGGTGGATCCATAGATCTTATACTTCATGCAAATGGCAAATTAGTGCATAAAAATAACGAGCGTTGCCGACAATCGTGGAACACTCCCGATTGATTAAATGTCATATGCCATATGCTTTATTCTAATAATATAATGGCAATTCTGATGACTGATAATTTTGTAAGAAATGATATTAATAATGTTTATTATAATATTTAATGTAATAAATTATAATAATATTCTATATAAAAACACAAAAATGTGTTCTTACTTCTTAATAATTAATAAAGTTAAGTTGTAAATTTGGTTCTAATCAAGAGTCTACGTTGATTTAGATAAAGTGCCAATTTCCTTTTCAACCATAATTAATAGAAAATGAAATAATTATTTAATTATTAGTCAAATTTGCTTATTGATGATGTACAGTCAATCCTCCTATAATGAAGTACTCTGGAGGCGTGCTCTCCATACTACGCGGAGCTGAAATTGCAACTGCCCTCTTATAACACGGTGTTTTTTAGCGCGGTTTTTGTTTAATATCCCATAAATTCTTTTCGCGCAACCTATGTTTGGATCTAGTTACTACTACTAGATATTTTATTGACATATTGTATCTTTTACAATATGTTTGTATACGATATAAACATGCCAATTTATATAGTAGTTGTGTACGACATTGATTTTAGTAGTGTCAGAGCTCTTCCACAACACGTGTTGCACTAACAAAAAACGCAGTAAAATTTATTTGTTTTGTACTAATTCTGGTTCCCATAGAACGCGCTACTAAAATGCCTGGTTTGTACGTTAAATCCCAGTTTTTTACATCTCTTTTTCCATATTACACGGTACTTACTCACTCGCCGCGTTCTAAGAGGGTTGACCTTATACCTACTTAAGAAATTGTTATCTTCGTGCACCTCGGTGTTTGGCATCTCCAACGTGTTATTGAATCACGCACAAGTGATCAGTCAAGCGTAATGCGCCATAAAGAACAGAAACAACCATTCAAATTCAACAATTCCAAAATGATGAAGGTACATAAAAGAATCTTAAATAGATATATTGAAATTCAATCAATTTCATTACTTTTAAAGAATTTTTTAACTTCCCGAAGGAGAAGTTTATGTTTTCATCAAAAAATCCGATTTGCTAATTTTATGTTTTCTCGACGTTTCAAGCCATTCTGAATCGAATGAGACCGAATTTGGTAAAAGTATATGTGCGTGTATGTGTGTGTGTGTTTGCGTGTATGTGAACAGATTTTTTGCCGTAAATCGACGTTTTCTCAAAAACGGTTCGACCGATTTCAAAAATTTAAAAGCCATTCGATGTATCTCGATGAGGACTAGCGTTTCTGAGTTTTGTGCGACGATCGCCTGAGCCGTTTCTTTATAAATTGCAGAAAAGTGAAAAATTTTTCGTCTACGTCTTAGCCCGCAATTCTGAATCGATTCTGAAAATTCAAAAACCGTTCGAAAGATACTGGTTGGGAATCGTGCCGATTAGTTTTTGGTAAAGATCGGTCGGGCCGTTTTCTTGTAATAAAGTTTTAAAAAAAATGACGATTTTTATAATTTTTTTCTTGCGGTAGATATCATAGTCTTCTAGATCATACTAAAATATTACTGCCCTACGACAACTCGTTTTGCTTTAAAAATTCGTCAAAGTTTGCAAAAATTGGTATCGTTTTTTTGGCATTTGTCAAAATTAGACCTTTCATCGACGCCGTTTGCTCAAAAACGCCTGAACCTATTTCAGAAATTTAAAAGCCATTCGATGTGCCTCAATGAGCACTATAGTTTGTAAGTTTTGTGAGACTATCTGCCGAGCCGTTTCTTTGTAATTCGGAAAAAGAGTGTTAAACTTTTCGTCCACATTTAAGCTCATTCTACCGAATCGATTTTAAAGAATCAAAAACCGTTCGAAAGATATTTGTTGGGAATGATACTGATTAGTTTTAGGTGAAAATCTACCGAGCCGTTTCCTTGTAATAAACTGTTGAAAAAAAAATTTAAGCCGATTTTTATGAAACTTTCTTTGGCGATGTATATCATGGTCGTAGTAGTTTAATTTTAAAAATTCATCAAAGTTTGAGAAAATGAGTAGTTTTTTCGACGTTTGTTAAAATTAAAATTCTATGATTTACTTGGTATAACGATAGATTACTTGGTCTTAATGAGCATACTAAACCATGAACGTCCTACGAAAACTGGTTCAATTATAAAAATTATTGATTTGTGAAAATTTGCTCTTAAGTAAAATATCTCCACCAATTTTTAAAAATATCCCAGAAAATGTTATAAAAGGACTTTGGGCTCCTCTATTGCTAATTGATTTGTAATTTGATCGATCAATAGTTAAACTTATGGACCTCGAGTCAAAGATTTCAAATTCAATATATGCTTCAGACAGCCTGATGTCAAGCTGTACTTTTACAGTTTTTACTTGTATTTATAGATTTCACATGGATATATAGATTGCCATCATGTATCCACGTGAAAATAATTTTTCAGCACATTGTTGCATCAGTAAAGAAAACATCTGTATTGCAGAAATTTTATTATTGAAATCACATATTGAGCAAGTTTATGAATCCCGAATCAACAAAACTTTTAGGTTCAATATATGCCTCGGACACCCTGATGTCCAGTAGTAGTAACATCGGTTATTACTTGAAGATATAGACTTCACATTGGTATATAAATTGCAACATGTTTCTAAGCGAAAATAGTTTAAGCACACATCAGTATTCAATAAGAAATTTGTCACATAGTGAGCC